GACAACCCAGCAGCTTGTGGGATGCCGGAGGTGGCGGCGACGGCGGCGATGGGGGGGCGCAGAGGATCGGGAAGGGGGGGGCCCGCCCGTCCGGGCTTGCTGGTTGCCAGCGCCGAGTCCCGACTCCCGCCCCGTCTTCCCTCTGACGGGCCGCCGCCTCCCCTCCCTCCCGCGAGGACATGGGGGGGAGCAGAGGGTCAGGGGAGGGGGCCCGCAACCCACGCAAGGGGGCCGGGCCCCCAGGGCCCCACCCAGGCTACGGGCCTGCTGTAGGGTATTTCATACTCAAGAACTTCACAGTTGCCAGGGATCTAACAAGAAATTGAAAGGATTTGCACAACTTCATTTGGGGGGGGGGGAACATGTTGTTTCCAGTTAGAAATGTGGAAAGCCCCTTCCTTTTTTTTGTTTCAGTATTACCTAATTTGTGCCATTGTGTGTGTTTGTGTGTTTAAAGCTCATACTTAAATATTCATAATGGTAGAGAGGTCATCTTGGTGCTACAGCCAGTCAGGTTCCTAGTTACCATGAGTTTTCTATTACATCTTGGAACACGATCGCGAATGACACCCACCTGGGAATGAAATATTGGTAATTTGTTTAAAAAATCTTCATAGCAGATGTTGGAGAGAATGTGCTGCTTGACTGGAAGATACTTAGTCCTTGTAAATACTGGACTTGGCATTTGAAAGTTCTTATACGAGTCTCAACTCTATGATCCTTCCAATGAGCACATCTTACCATTTCCAACTGTCTAGAACACAGCAGTTTGCTTTATCACAGGATGGAACAATTTGAATTCCCAAGCTGTTTTATTGCAAAGGAATTTCAGAAACAGATTGGAACAGGAGATTGCTGGACTACAAGTTATTACATCACTCAGGAAAATGGAACCCCAAGGGCTTAACAGAGCTATCGGCTTCTTATCTCACTACGCATGCGAAGTCTTTACTTATACCCAGAAATTAAACTTTGTTGGTCTTATAGAGGCCACTGGACTCAAATTTGGTTCCCACATCTGTTAACTCCTTTATTATCTGTATGCCAACTTGCTGCTATTTACATGTCCTACTATATGTGTTATTCCAATCTTAGCTATATTTATTGCTCAGTCATTTATGCCTCTTGACTCTAATCAGTTGTTTTTGGCAACTACCCCCCCCTGTAATATTTGAGGAAATCTGTTTCAATGTTTGTGAAGAAATGTGCACAGGCGGAGTCTCTGTTCTCGCATGTACACAGGGTTGAGCTTGGTTTGTCTTGGGGGTACCGCTGGACTCTAGCTTCATTCTCACATCTCTTTGTTAACTCTTGCAATTATGTGCTAATTTGCTGCCATCCATTGATCTTACCAGCCACATGATCCAATTTCAGCTCTGCATCTGCATCTTGGCTCTGAGTGGCCCCTCCTAACGTCTGACCCCCACCCTCTTTTTTCCTGTAAGTAACCCCTGTGCAGATTTCATTCCAGTTTGTCTGAAGAAGGGTGCTTTCCACACAAAAGCTTTTACCTTGAATAAAACTTTGTTGGTCTTAAAGGTGCCACTGGACTCAAACTTTGTTCTGCTGCTTCAGACCAACACGGCTACCCACCTGAATTCCCAAGTGAGAGGAAACTGAAAATGTTGGCAACATTTCAAATATGAGGAGCTGCTCTACGCTGCCACTCTAAGCAGAATTGCACCCTTCTAAGGCCACTTAAGTCATTGAGCTTAGAGAATAGTGTAACTTTGCATAGGATGGCACTGAAGTATGGGATTGGTGGGAAAGCAGGGTTGCCAGGTCTGGGTTGGAAAATACCTGGAGACTTTGGGGGTGGATCCAGGAGAGGGGGGGATTTGGGGGAGGAGGGGCCTCAGCATGGTACAATGTCATAGAATCCACCCTTCAAAGCAGCCATTTTCTCCAGGGGAACTGATCTCTGTCAGCTGGAGAGCAGTTGTAAAAGCAGGAGATCTCCAGGCCTCACCTGGAGACTGGCAACCCTTTGGGAAAGGGGCAGGAGGCCTTTTTGTGTTGTCATGGTTACAGCTGTAAATACAGATAGCAATATGAACTGGGAGCTTCCATATTGGTTCCATGGGTGGTGGGAAAGTCCTTTGGGCCTTTTTCCCTCCAGACTTCACGCATATGAACACCAATTTTAAAATTTGAGGGGGGAAATGGAGGGAAAATGTAGAATTCTATCTCTTAACATAATAACACTGACAGAGTACCCATTGGTGTAAAAATGCTTTTTAGAGTAATACAATGAGGAGAGAGCTGGTTCTTGCTCCAAGGACATCAAAATTTGAATTGGAGAGGGGGGTACAACAACAGGAGGAGAGGAAAGACAAGCCAAGGCAGAGCAGGTGGAATATGTACACATTCTATGCAATTCCTTTGATGCAATCCTTTTAAAGACCCTCTCTGTCTATTGGGACTTTCTGCCAGGTAAATGTGTATAAAAGTACAGCTCTAGATATGGTTTTTATAGGGTTTGAAAAGTTTGCTATTAATATGGTGCTTTGTTGTTGCAAATGTCCTTATAGTTGCATGGCTGATCTTTCAGTTCGGTTTTTCCATTCTAAAGCAAGCTGCTCTAAGTCATTGTGATATAAACAAGTCGTGTTTATTGGGTATGGCTTTGAACATGCCTTCCCATGAAGGTGTGGCAGACCCCACCCCCTTCTTGGGAAGCATAAACTCTGTAAGATAATGTATATGTGGAGGACGTGATGTTCTGGCAACATATCCTGTGGGATTTTGCATCCCTTGCTTGGGAGAATTTTGACTCTCTGCCGAGCATTCCAGCAACATCAGTGTTTGCTTCATAATATTATTGCTGACCTTGCCTTTTGGCATGAATTTGCTCACGGGTTCTTGTGTTTGCCTTTGACTGTATATTCCAAACACTGTTCCCATTTTCAAAGGGTCAGATAATATTTATCTGTTAGAAGGCTGGATTGGTAATATTTGCTCTCCCAGTAAGCTGCTGGTCAGTACAGCCGAGTTGAGTTTTCTGGAAAGGGTCCTGAAACTCAAGGGCTAACTACATCACGTGCTCCCATCCCCCCCCCCAAGACATACTTCTGAACAACATTTGTGGGTTTCTTTTAGGAAATATCCACAGAAGCATGTCATACTATATGAGTCATTTACAAACAGATTTTAGACATTATTCAGTTTTTTTTAAAAAAACCTTGGCTTTCCTCCATGGAGCTTAGAATAGTGTATGTAGAAGCCTGCAGATTCTTGTAGTTGCATTTTGTTAAAAAACAACAACAACAATAGTGTTGGAGCGAAAGTACATGTAATGGTGTTATATGGCATAATACAGCCCTGGACACTGTTTCCAGCAGAGTTAGATGTGTGAAAATTATTTCACAGTTGCCTGTCTTCACTTGACGATAAACATGCAGGTGTGAACCACCCCATTGTAAGTGGGTCGAAGGCAAAAGTAAATGGTCATGTGATTGCTCCTGCTTGCAAACTGTTGCACCACTGCAGGCATTCCCAAATTAGTTTGAATGGCTAATGGGGTAATTATGCAAAGAGAGTGAATGGAGAGTGTGTTCTGTCATTGCGTTAGGGCTGTGGGTCATCCGTAGGAGGCACAAGAGAGTATGTTCATGCAGCACTTCATTAACGCAAGGGATTAATTGCCAGAAGATGTAGTACAGGCTGCCAGTCTAGAATGACTTTTAAAGAACAAGACAGGATCTTATAGGAGTACATCTGTCAGCTTTGTAAGCAGCTAAGAATGGAGGCTTTGGGTTCTGAGAGAATCTGCTTCTGATTACCAGATGTTGGAGATAAGGAAGTTCATGTCATGTCCTGCTTGTGGGCTGGGGTGGAATTGTCAGTTGTCACATCAGGGTTAAGTGCAGGATGGACCACTCCCCCTTCCCCTGGAGCACTGCCTTATCCTGCCATTTTTTTTTTTTTTTTTTGCCATCAGGTCGTAGCCGGGTTATAGTGACCTTGTAGGGTTTTCAGGGCAAGAGACGTTCAGAGGTGGTTTGCCCTTGCCTGCCTCTGCATAGCAATTCTGGACCTCCTTGGCAGTCTCCCATCCAAATACTGACTATGGCCAACCCTGCTTAGCTTCCAAGATAAGGTTGACTGGGTTATCCAGGTCAGAGCATCCTGCTTTTTAATTGATCATATTTTCAGTTAAGAAACATGAACGGCTTTTTTAAAAAAAATAAGAACCTTTCTGTTTGTGTTTCCCAAACACACCTGACTTCCCCTACCTGAACTGCCCTGCTTGGCCCACCAAACATTTGCACAGATTCAGGACATTGTTGCCCCCTTATATTGCTTAAGCAATCTGGCCCTTGATGGCTCTCATTTTGATGGACTAAGGTTACTGAGTTGTGAAGGAAGAGGCATGGACAAGCCATTGAGAAGTCATTTCACTTCTGCACAGATAACTCATATTCCTGCCGTTGGTCCACTTGTGAGAAGTCCACTTGTGAGAAGTGCCCTAAGTGGCCTGAGAATTGTCATGACTAAACAGGGGGCCATGGTTCAGTGGTAGGCTGCCTGCTTTGCATGCAGAAGGTGCCAGATTCAATCCCAGGCATCGCCAGTTAAAAAGGATCAGGTAGTATATAATGTGAAAGGCCTCCACCTGAGACTCTAGGCAGTATGCATTTATATTTACTTTATAGTCTGCCTTTCTCACTGAGAAGGTGAATTACAGGATATAAACCAGCGCAATCAGGCAGCGTAAGACAACAGATGAACAATGGAATAGGACTGGGACTACAGATTTAGATAACAGTATGAATAGCAAACTGTCTAAGGTAGTATTGACCCTGAATAGAACTTTGATCTGACTCAGTAGAACGCAGCTCCATGTATTCAAAGGCTGACCTTGAAAGATAGAGGGATGAAAATGATTGTTGGAATGCTACTTCGTACTTCCATTTCTTTGCCGTTGTTTGCTTACTCGTCTGTGCCTTGGACTTCACTGGTATTCATGTCTCTCTTATTTTTGCCCCCTTTCTCCACAGCATTTCACAGAACTCCTCGATGAGTTTTCCCAGGACATTTTGGGACAGCTCCTGAACGATCCCTTCCTGTCTGAGAAGAATGAGTTGATGGAAGTGGATCTGTCGCCAGCTTCTCCGGCGCCCCTCATTCAGGCAGAGCACAGCTATTCGCTGTGCGGCGACTCTCGACCCCAGTCCCCGTTGACCCACATTTCAACCGACGACAATTTTAATGAAGGTAAGAATTGAGCAACCGAGCAGCATTGCAGGGAACAGATGCTGTAGATAAGCATGCTTGACTGGCCAGGATTACAGAATGTTCTGTTGACCTTAAGAGTGGGAAGGAAGAAGAGATGTAAATATTGAAACTGGGAATGTTTCCATATGTCTACTTGGGGGGGGGGGGAAACACACCCTTATCATTAATGCATTTGCCAAGCCTTATATAGAGTTGGTAGGGTTGGCGAGAACTGTTTTGACTGTTTTTCATGATGGATCTATTGGTGGTGCTTGTAGAGGCCACTTGGGTTGAGGCATTGCTGAAGTAGAGATGTCTTGGGTGGGGACAGTCTGACCCTGATCTGTGTCAGACTGTCCTCGTGGAAAGTAAGAGCAGCTCCGTGTTTTGCACAGAGATTGTATTTGCTGTGAACATTAAGGGCGATTTCTCACTAGAGCTGCCTCGCAGCGCAGCGCCGTTTGCCCCAACACAAACATGTCAATTTCACACCCGAGGCTGCGGGGCTGCATTTGACCCGCGGCTTCGCCCGATTTCCTCCGCAGTTTCATGATCCTCAAAAACCAGGATCACGAAACTGCGGAGGAAATCGAGCGAAGCCGCGAGTCAAAATGCAGCCCCGGAGCTTCGGGTGTGAAATTGACATGTTTGTGTTGGGGCAAACGGCGGCTGTCCTGCGAGGCAGCTCTAGTGAGAAATCGCCCTAAGAGTTTTGCTGGTTCAGGGCGGTGATTCGTCTAGCACAGCATCCTGTCATCCACAGTGGCCAACCAGATTCCCTATAAAGTCCACAAGCACAGAGGCCAAATCTTCCCTGTTGTGTTGCTGCCCCTCAAATTGGGGTTTCACAGATATGCTGCTAAGGAACATGGTGGTCCCTTTCATCCGTCATAACTACAAGCCATTAAAAGAAATATCTCCCATGATTTTGTCAATTACCCTGTTAAAGCCTTCCAAGCCAGTTCTGTCCTGTGAAGGTACTGCTTGTTATACTGGTGTCTGCCACAATAAATAAACATAAGATGTTTCCTTAAACAGCTGTGGACGTCTGTTGGTGTGAGACTGCGTAATCAGGAAGCTGTCTGGGTCAGACCTATTATGAGATCTACTAGTTCCTCTTGGATGCTCTGAAACATGGACAGCCTTCTTAGTGTCAAATCGAGCCCCTAGGGTGCAAGTTGCTTTTCCCAGTTATTTGAAGCAGAGTTGGAATGTGAGTATAGGAGAAGATCCGATGAGGCCTGTATTCTACACATGCAGTAGAATGAAATGGTAGATGCCAAAGATCAAAAAAATAGACTATGCTAACATAGCTTATAGGTAGGAAATGGCTTCACCCTATGAAACTCCCTCTGCTAGTACAGCAACTGGCACTCCACAGCTAAAGCCCAGTTGTTTTCTGATGTGCCAGTTTTTTACTTGCACGGTGCTTCTTGATGTGATTCTCCCTCCCACCCCCAGTCAGTTTGAGGTGATGTAGTCCCGTCTACCACGCCTCCACTTCTTTCTGCTGCAGGTGTTGACCAGGCCTGTGCACAACGAATGGCTATTTATTTATTCATTTTATATCCCACTTTACTCCCCAATGGGGACCCAAAGTGGCTTGCATCCTCCTTCTCTCCTCCATATTATCCTCACAACAACCTTGTGAGATAGGTTAGGCTGAGGGTGTGTAACTGGTCCAAGGTTGCATAGCAAGCTCCCATGGCAGAGTAGCAGTTGAAGAAGGGTCTCCTAGATCTTAGCCTGACACTCCAACAGCTACACCACGGTGTCCACAGTCTGGAAACCTTTCTGAGTTCTGCCTGTATTACATATTCTTTGTCTTCTTGGGTACCTCTTGGGCAATATTCTGCAAAGAGGAGCTGTGATTCTGTACCACTGGAACCAGTCCTTCAAGAGGGAAACCAGAGGAGGCCCTCCCAGGGCACATTCATCCTAGCAATTGAAAACAAGAGCCCAGAAACTCACATAAATGTCTGATGCTTTTGATCTTTGTGAGATGCTGTTTGGGACTGCATCTTTTGTAAAGGGGCATACTGGAACCAGGGCTTGGCTCAAATGCTTTGGCACTGTAACAGAAAGCCTGGAAGCACCTTTCAGGTTGCTTGCATGGCCCTTGCTTCCTTGCATGCTGCAAGCTATTTAATGACTTTGGCAGGAGTTTCCAC